ATAATAATAATAATAATAATAATAATAAATAATAAAAACACCCAAAAATCGGATAAAGAATTAGGTTAAAAAATTGTTACCAACATATATTAGACACCCTACTTTCCCTTTCTATCCTCACCCTACTATTATTATTATCATAAGTGTGGTTTTATTTGGTGGTAGTGGTAATTGTAGTTGTAGTTGTAGTTGTAGTTGTGGTTGTGGGTGATTATAAATTAAAGGTAAACTTGTGGGTGCGTGGTGTGCGATTTTAAATCAAAAAAAAAAAAAAAAATTAAAAAACATTAATAAAAACCTATCGAATTTCTAATAATCATAGAATTGAATGTAGTAGTTGTTTATTGGAATACAATACAATTACATCTCTTTAATTTTTAATAAATATATATTATAATTTATCACAATTAATAATAATAATCCTTATTCTTTTTATAAAAAAATAAATAAAAATAATAAAAATAAATTAATAAATTAATCATAATCATAATAAAATATTAATTATAGAATAAAATAATAAAAATAAAATAAAATTAATTCAATTTTAAATTTTTTAAATTTATTATTTAATCACAAAAAGAAAAAAAAATAATTATGTTTTCATTTTTATTTGTTAATTAAGAAAATTATTTTTGTTTGATTTATTCCTTTATTCCATTTTATTTTATTTATTTATTTATTTATTTATTTATTTATTTATTTATTTATTTATTTATTTATTTATTTATTTATTTTGTTTTATTTTGTTTTATTTTGTTTTATTTTGTTTTATTTAATTTATAAATATACTTTCATTTTTTAAAACAGATATTTATTTTATTATAATAAAAAAAAAGAAAGAAAATAACAAATTCTATTTGTTATTTTAAACATATTTATAAAAATAATAATAATAATATAATAATTATAATTATAATTTATTATAAATATTTTATAAATAAAATAATAATCAATAATTTTTTTTAATTATTAATCATTCTTATTTATTTATTAAAAAAAAAAAAAAAAAGATAAAATTATAATTTTTTATAATAATTTACTATAGAGACTAGTGTCAGTTAGTAGTGTGTTGAATATATTTATTTATAAAAAAAAAAAAAAATGAAAATAATATTATTTATATTTTTAATAATAATAATAAATATATATAATAATATATTGGTAAGAGGTGAAATTGACTTTAAAGTACCATGTGGTGATGGTTACTGTGGATATGACCAAGTATGCTATAAATATAATCCACAAGAAGATGTTTCCGTATGTCTATTGGCCGATCAATTTAATCTATTAGAATTAGTCCAAACATTTGAAAAAACATGGATCGATCATTATGGCGACGAATACTCTTTATTTAGAGTTAAAATACAGAACCACAGCAATAAACCAATTACCCATCTTTATTTGGCTACCGATTTTACATTTGACCTTAAAGAAAAATCAAGTTATTGGAATATTCATCTCGACACCTGGAATAACTTTTTGACACTTCCAAACTATGTTAATTCAATTCAACCATTTTCCTATCACTTATTTGGCTATATTGTCAAAGGCAAAACCTCTCCAAATATGATCATTAGATCAATAACCTATTCTGACCCGGAAATATTTGCCAACCAACAATATTGAAAAAAATAAAAAAAATAAAATAAATAAAATCTAAAAATCTATAACTACCTTTTTATAATTATAAAAAAAAATTATTTTTTTATTTATTTATTATTTATATTAATGCTGTACTTATTTTCTTTTTCGTTAGTTGCAAAGTTTATTGGGATGACTCATTTCTTATTACATCCTAATTTCGTTTTAATTTTTTTTTTAATTTTTTTTTTTTTTATTTTATTTTTTTTAATTTTTTTTATCATCATATTTTTAATTTTTTTTTTTTTTAATTTTAATTTTTTTTTTTTTAAATAAAAAGATAAAATAAATATTATTACCTTTATTTTTTTTCACTATTTACACTAATAATGAATGTAGAAAAAAAAACTAAAGGTAATAAATCTATACAGTTGTATAGATTGAAACCTAGTTTCACCCATCTCAATTTAGTTCCTTTCTTAATAATTTATTGTTATTTATTTTATTTATATTTCACATCACCAGAATATAATAACCAAGATAATAGCAATATTTTAGATGGCTCCTCATCACTAGAGTCATCGTTAGAAGATTTATCATCCTCCTCATCATCATCACTTGATGATTCTTCATCCTCCTCATCATCATCAGAAGAAACTCAACAAGTCGAATTCAATCTTCACGTTTTTTTAATAGTAGCTACTATGGCAATTCATTTTGTATCATACTTATTTAATCACTGGTCAATCGATTATAAATGTTTTGTAACAATGAAAAAAGTTAATAATATTAAAGATGCAACACACGCCAAAGTTACACCAAACAAACATATGGGTGTAAAACAATTATGTCCAATTTCAAGACATCTCCACAAACCAACAACAACCTCAGCATCATCATCTACAGAAATTAAATTGGAACAACAATTTAAAGATCTTCAATACAGCATCGAATTTCAAAAAAGAAAATTAGTTTATAATATGGATAAAAAACAATTTGAAAAAATCAAATTCAACATTCCTTTAAACCCAGATGAATTATTAAACAATGTGCGTTCCTATGAAACTGATGAACAAATTGAATTGGCTCAAATGAAATATGGTTTAAATAGATTCGATATTCCAATACCTTCATTTTTAGCACTCTATAAAGAACAAGCTACTGCCCCTTTCTTTGTTTTTCAAGTATTTTGCGTTTTACTTTGGTGTCTTGAAGAATATGTCTTTTATTGTCTTTTCAGTTTATTCATGTTATTAGTATTCGAAGCTACTGTTGTTAAATCAGTAAGTAGTTACTTTATAAAATAAATAACTTTATCAAAAATACTAATACACTTTTATTTTAATAATAATAATAATAATAATAACAATAATAATAATAACAGAGATTAGGTAATTTAAATTCATTAAAAAATATGAGCAGTAAACCAACTTATCCAATTTATGCGTATAGATTAAAACAATGGAAACAAATTAATACAACCGAAATTTTACCAGGTGATATTTTATCAGTTGGTAGAGGCTCAACTGAAGCATTATCAACATTACCATGCGACATGTTATTATTAAGTGGTGGATGTGTTGTTAATGAAGCAATGTTAACTGGTGAATCAACTCCATACCACAAAGAATCACTCAAAGATAGAAAATCCTCAAAAACAATTGATATCAAAAATGACAAGAACCACATTTTATATGGTGGTACAACTATTGTTCAACATACTCCATCAGAAAAACTTGCTAGCATCAGCAGACCACCTGATAAGGGTTGTATTGCTTATGCAATTAAAACTGGTTTCAATACTAATCAAGGTAGTCTTATGAGAACTATTTGGTTCTCTTCCGAACGTGTTACCGCCAATAACAAAGAAAGTTTCCTTTTCATTCTCTTCCTTTTAACTTTTGCTATTGCTGCCTCTGCCTATCTCTTCAACAAAGGTATTCGTGAAAACAACCGTAGTAAATATAAATTACTCTTAAATTGTATTATGGTCATCACCTCAGTAGTCCCACCAGAACTCCCAATGGAACTTTCATTAGCTGTAAACAACTCTTTAATCTCTCTTATCAAATTAGGTATTTATTGTACTGAACCTTTCCGTATTCCATATGCTGGTAAAGTTGATATCTGTTGTTTTGATAAAACTGGTACACTTACAACTGATGATTTAGTTTTGCAAGGTATTGCAAATTGTCCAATAAAACATCATAATAGTAGCAATTCAAATAAAGATACAATTGATACAGAAGAAGGTTCTACCACCACCAACAATAATAACAATAATAATAATAATGGATTAATTCAACCAAACGAATTAAGTGACGTTATTCAATTTATTTTAGCAGGTTGTAATAGTTTAGTTATTATCGATAATAATTTAGTTGGTGATCCAATGGAAACTGCAGCATTAAAATCAATTCCATACGTTGTTAAAGGTGATAAAATCTCACATCAAAAGAAAGGTATTTCAATTGATATTATTCATAGATATTTATTTTCATCAGACTTAAAGAGAATGGCAACTATTTGTAATGTTACAAATTCATCAACTCAATCGAGCAATACCTATGCATTTGCAAAAGGTGCACCTGAAATTATGAAACCATTCTTCAATCCAAAATCAATTCCAGAAAACTATGATAGCTGCTATAAACAATATTCACGTCAAGGTTCAAGAGTATTATCATTGGGTTTCAAGAGATTAGAATCTGGTTTAAATCCATCACAATACAAATCAATGGAACGTGACCAAATCGAAAAAGATTTAGAATTTGGTGGTTTTATCACTTTTGATTGTCCATTAAAACCAGATTCGAAAGAATCTATCGAAATGCTTATGGCCTCTGCTCATCACATTGTTATGATTACTGGTGATAATAGTTTAACTGCTTGTCATGTAGGCAAACAATTAAGCTTTGTAGAATCCACTAAACAAACCCTTATCCTCCAAGAAGATAAACAATGGATTTCTGTTGATGAATCTGTCAAAGTACCATTAGATTCTGACGATAGTGAACACTTAATGAAATTATCAGAAAAATATAATCTTTGTGTATCAGGTTCAAGTTTAGATTTAATTGTCAAGAGTAGCAATTTGGAAAAACAATTATATTTAGTTAAAGTATTTGCAAGGGTATCACCAGATCAAAAACAATTAATTTTAGGTAACTTTAAAGCCAATGGTCATCATACATTGATGGCAGGTGATGGTACAAATGATGTTGGTGCATTAAAACAAGCTCATGTTGGTATAGCTATTCTCAATAAAGGTGAATTTAAACCACCACCAGAAATTAACTTTAGTGAACTCTTCAAACAAGCTAGAGAACGTCAGATGCAAGAACAATTACGTCGTAATGGTGATCCAAGAGCTGCCACAGCTCTTGCTCAAAAACAAGCTCAAGACTTAGCTATGCGTTTACAACAAGACAACGAAGCCACAATGGTAAAATTAGGTGATGCCTCTATTGCTGCTCCTTTCACATCGAAATCCAGTGCTGTTAAACCAATCACTCATATCATTCGTCAAGGTAGATGCACATTAGTAACCACCTTCCAAATGTACAAGATTTTAGCTTTAAATTCTTTAATCTCAGCCTATGGTTTATCAGTATTATATTTAGATGGTGTTAAATTGGGTGATTCTCAAGCCACAATTTCTGGTATGTTAATTGCAGTTTGTTTCCTCTTTATCTCAACCTCCAAACCATTAATGAAACTTGCAAATAGACGTCCAAATCCAAACTTGTTTAGTCCTTATATGATGTTTTCAATTTTACTCCAATTCGCTCTTCATTTAGCCTGCATCATTTTCATTGTATATCAATCTCAATTAAGAATTGGCACCAATAGACCAGACCCAGATTCACCATTCAAACCAAATCTATTAAACTCAGCTGTATTTTTAATGAGCAATGCTATGCAAGTTGCCACATTTGCCGTTAACTACAAAGGTCATCCATTCATGCAATCCCTCTCTGAAAACAAACCTTTATTATATGCTCTTTCCGCTGTTTGGGGTTTAGGTTTAGTTTTATCCACAGAAATGATTCCATCATTAAATGAATATTTAGAATTGGTACCATTCCCTGATTCAACTTTCCGATTTTATATGGTTTCTTCAATTATTGTAGATTTAATTGGTGCCTATTTAATTGAAAAAATATGCTCAATTTTATTTAAAAACTAATTTATTCAATTAAATAATATAAAAATAAAAATAATAAAAATATAAATATAAATATAAATATAATGGTATTTAAAAAAAAATTATATGTTATCGATTTTAATATTTAATTGATTTTATTTGATTTAAAAAAATTTTTAAAAAAATATAAAAAATGATATAAAAAATTTAATAGTAAACTTTTTGATATTATTTTCATTTCTAAAAATTTTAATCGAGATATTTATTTTGTTAATATTGAAAAAAAAAAAAAATCACAAAATATTCGTGCGTAAAAAAGTTAAATCATGATTGTTACCCTTTTTTTTACTGGTATGAAGATGTATTTGGATATTATATATAAATATTTTTTTTTTGAAAAGAATTAGGAAAAAAGCAAATGCAAATATTGTTATTTAATGGGGTATTATTAGAATTTTTATATTTTAATTGTTTTAGTTTTGGGGGGGGCTGTTGGCAAAGGGCATTTTGGAAATACGAACCAACCTTAAAAGCAAAGAAATTTGCTAATTTTTTCTATTTTTTATTTTTTTTTTTTTCGGTGATGAAAAAAAAAAAAAACCAAAATTTCGAACGTGCAACCATAATTAAATTTATATTGATGTGGTGTATTCAATATGTAACTTATATATAATCTATTGTTCCCCAAAAACAATAAATAATAAAAAAAAAAAAAAAAAAAAAAAAAAAAAAGATATTTTTTTTTTCATTTTTTTAAAAAAACACTCGTTTTTGATTTAAAAAATATTTTTTTTAAGAATTATTTCATATAATATAAACCAAAGCCATAATTTATTTTCTAAAAATTTATTTTTAAATTATTTTTTATTTTTGCTTTTATTTTTTTTTTTTTTTTTTTAAAAAAAAATATTTTTTTTGCAAATCTATTTTTTTTTTCATATTATCATAAATCATTTTATTATTTTTTCTTTTAATTTAAAAAAATTATTCACAATCACACCTCATCAGTGTCCAATAAAAAACTATAAAGCACTATATTTTAAATCAAATAATTCATTTAATTAATTAAAATAAAATAAAGTAATAATAAAAATATTTAATAATATTTTTTTTTGTTATTACTGGAATAATAATAAAATTAATAAAAGTATATATAGTAATTTTTTGTTGTATTATATAAAATAAAATTCAAAAATAATAATTTTAAAAAAATCAAATTAAATTCAAAAAAAAATAAATAATTTTTCATCTGTTAAACATCAGCAAAAATAACAATAATCAAATAGTTCATCACATAGTCAGTGACATAGAAATATAGAAATATAGAATAAAATATAAAAACTTTTTTAGCAAAATAATAATATAGTAATATAGAAAATAGTATAATAAGATAATAAATAAAATAAAATAATATAAAATATAATATTATATAATATAAAATAAAATAAAATAAAATAATATAAAATAATATAAAATAAAATAATAAAATAATATAAAATAAAATAATATAATAATAATAAACTATTTAGTAATATAATATAAAATAATATAATAATATAAATATAGTAAAATGGAATGGATAAAATTAAAACCAAAAGGTATTCAACCACCAAAAAGAGGGGGACATACATCATGTATTATTAAAAATAAATTATATGTATTTGGAGGAGGCAGTTATCAACCACCACAAACAAGTTCATTAGCATTGGAACCAAATAATTTACATGTTTATGATTTTACAACAAACACATGGGGTATTTTGGCGACAAGCGGTATTCCACCATCAATTAGATATGGACATTCAGCAACAGAGGTTGGAGATAAAATATTTATAATTGGAGGATATGGACAAATGTTTTTTGACGATGTACACATTTTCGATACCACTACAAACAGTTGGAGCTCACCAGTTTGTTTAGGACAAAGACCCTCACCACGTTATGCCCATTCAGCTACTTTAGTTGGTACCAATATATTTGTATTTGCAGGTTGTTACGAAAATAAATGTTTTAACGAACTCTATTGCTTGGATACTGTAGCTCTTACTTGGTCATTCGTTAGTACAACTGGAAGTCCCCCACAGCAACGTTCATATCACACAACAAACTTAATTGGCAGAAAGCTTTACGTATTTGGTGGCCATGTTGGTAGTACTTATCATAGTGATCTCTATGTTTTCAATTTAGACTCAAAGGTTTGGACTCAAGGTATTACTCAAGGTAAATTTGAAACCGGTATTGCTTATCACTCATCTGCTATCATCAATAATCAATTGTTTATTTTTGGTGGTAACGATGGTAGAGCTTGTTATGATGCTCTTTGGAAATTAAATATTGAAAATATGGAGTGGGAAAGAATGCTATTTAAAGATTGTAGTGCAAGACCCCCAAGTCGTCATAAACACACTTTATCGGTATCTCAAGATCTCTCGTTAATCCTCTATGGTGGCATGGAGTTTTATCCAAATTGTTTTGATGATTTATACAAACTTCATATACCATCCAAGTGTCTTCAATCACCAAATTTAATTTCAATTTATCATCCTCCACTTGTTTTAAATAATTCAAATGGTTCAATAAATATTAATGGAAATTGTAACAATAATAATACTACAAATACAAATAGTTCCAATTTATATACATCAAATAGTGGCTTAATGGTCCAAATACCTTCATCACCAACATTATCTTCATTATCTCAATCATCATCATCAACACCATCAATATCTGATATAATGGATGATAGAAATAAATTACAATACGAATTTAATAAATTAAAAGAAGAATACGAACAGGTAAAACAAATCATTGAAAATGTTTCTTGTTTAAATCTTTCAAATGCATCATTTATTGATTTAGATAATTTAGAAAATTGTTTTTTAGATGGTTTAAGAAAAGTTTCAAATTCAAAGGTAAATAATTTTATTTTAAAAGCTAGCACAAAGTTATTATAAAAATTTATACTAAAATATTTCTATTTTATTTTATTTTAGAGAATTTTAATGGAAAATAGAAATAAGGAATATAGTCAAATAAAAGAAGAAAATGATATACTAAAACAACACTTTAATCAATTTCAACCATTATCACCATTATCACCAACTTCGCCACCACAAACATTGGGATTTCAAAATCAGTCACCACCTTATGTAAATATAAATAATAATAATAATATTAATAATAATAACAACCAACCATCATATAATCAAAAATCTTTTGGTGGGGGTGGCAGTTTTAAACATAATAACGGTTCAAACTACCATTCAAGTAGAAATTTACCTTTAAGAAGGGTAAATTCAACAGACTCTGTAATAGTAGATGGTAGAGCAAAGGATTTATTCAATGGTAATTCCAATTTAAGTCCACAAGGTTCACCTCATTTAAATTCAAATCAAAGAACTTATACAAGAAATATAAATAATTTTAATTTAAATTCACCTTTATTAATTAATAATAATAATATTGTAAACAATAATAACAATAGTAATAATAGTAATAATTCGAATAATCATAAATTTATTACAAAATCAAATAATTTTAGTTTTCAAAATTATCAACAGCAGCAACAACAACAACAACAACAGCAACAACAACAGCAACAACAATTTGATAATTTTAAATAATATGAAATAGAAATAGTAATATTATATATATATATATATACAGTCAAAATATAATGATATGGGGTAATATAGCGTCAATCTCATAACATATAAAAAAGTAATAAATTTATTATTTTTTTTTTTTTTTTTATATTAAAGTTTATTTCTTTTTTTTTTTTTACAATTTTCTTATATTATTTTTATTATTACTATTTATTATATAAAATCTCTATTAATTGAGGAATACATTGCTTTAATTATATTTTGATTTAACCCATATAATGTGTCTAATGAATAAACTCCCACACCACCAATAACATTATCTTTAATTTTTAAATATGTCGATCTTGGATTATCATACTGGATTTGATAGTATGTTAATAAATCATCAGATGTTATGTCGTAACTATTTCCATTGATTTCTTTAATATTTAAGTATGGGTTTAGAGATGTTTGGTTCCAGATTTCGGTCGATGTAATATAGAGGTTATCTTGAATTTCGGCACCCACCAAATAATTGTATATTTCACTAAATTCTATTTTTTGAGGTTTTCTTGAATTAATACATCCAGAGGTATATATACCATGTAGGAATTCATCACAAACATATTTATAGCCATACCATGGAACACTTAGTATAATCTTATTGGTGTCAGTTGAGTTCCATGCACCTATTAAGTTTCGAACCTCATTAGTATCGGAGTTTGCAATTACAGGTCCATCAAAAATACCCAAATCATAAGCATTGGCAATAACATAGTCTACATTTGAAAGCTTTATTAAATTATTGTAGCTGTATGGAATGTTTTTAATAGATATTGATACGGAAAAATGAATTTCTTTTGATATTTCTTTTAATAGGGCACCCATTTTTTCAACTTTTTTGAGATATTTCTTATCAGAAGATGGATTTTTATAAAATATTAATGATACCCCATCAGCATCTAATTTTTTTACTTGATTGATAACCTGCTTAAGAGAATCTTCATCTAGGGAATTTCCTTCAATGTTTAAAACGGCATTAACATTATTTGATTGTGATATTTTAATGATTTTTTGAAGGTTTTTAAGATTAGGAGGTAAAACTAATGTGTCTATTGATTCCCATATTATATCTTGGCTGTTATAAAAATTTAAATCATCACTTTTGCTATACCCAATGATATGTTTTTGTGTATAATCTGCTTTTAAATTTAATCTTGATTGTACTATTTTATAAAAAATAATAAAGTGTAAAAATACAATAAATAGTTTTTTAATCATTTTTTAAAAAAAAAAAATTAAATTTTATTAAAAAAATAAATAAATAAAAAAATATAATAAATAAATAAATATCTATAAAATATTATTTTTTATGTCTTATGGCAATAATATTTTTTTTTATTTTTTTTTTGTTTATAAACACTTAAATTGGGAATTGAGGGAAAAAAAAAAAAAAGAAAAAATTAAAAAAAAAAAAAAAATCAAATTACGCCATTACTGCTCCATTGTAACCATATTACCCCTCATAACACTGGTATGTTTCATCATAATCAATATTTTGTTTCGAAATGAGAAATAAGACATATTATTTAATAAAAAAATAAAAAACGGTACATATTATTACTAAAAAAAAAAAAAAAAAATCTTAAAACTATTCGTTTTTAAAAAAACGGCGCATATTATTACTAAAAAAAAAGTAAAAAAATCTCAAAAAAACGGTGCATAATATTACTAAAAAAAAAATAAAAAAATCTTAAAACTATTCGTTTTTAAGATTTATTTTTTTATTTTATTTTATTTTATTTTTTTTAAATTTTCCTCAAAATTCTGATATGCAAAAAAAAGATTAATATTATAACATAATATCAAAATCCCTATTAATTAATTTTTAAAAAAATATTAATAAAGGAATAAATAAAAAAAAATAAATAAATCTATATAATTATTTATAAATAAAATAAATTAAAAAAATAAAATGAAAAAAAATTTTATAATTATAATCTTTTTAATTTTATTTTTTTTACACATAATTGCAGATACTGTTGATGAAGAAGACCCATGCAAAGATATAGATTTAAGAAAACCAATTAAAAAAAAGAAGGGTAAAATATTCTATGCCTATGTAAGAACCCCCTATTGTTCAAACTATACATATTTTGCAACTGACCCATCCTTCAAATGGAGTAGTATTGATGTAATTGCAACCTATAATGTTAACTACGACAAAAGAATTTCATGCTTAGCCCACAAACATAATGTAAGAGTAGAATTTATTTTTGAAGAAGGCCATTTTTGCAGGGAACACACCATCGATAATGATTGTCCATATGACCAAGATAAAATCAAAAGCAGTTTACCAAATATAATGAAAAAATTACAAGAAAATTATGTAGATGGTATCAGTCTAGATTTCGAATATAACCCCAATGGAAACCTATATGGATCAAATGGAGGTTATGCATCTCTTTCCAAGAAAATAAGGGAATATTTGGACTCTATAAATGAAAACTATTCACTTTCATCTGCTCTTGCCCTAAACCCAAATGCAAATTTAAGAAATCAAATGGTCGATATTGCAACTTACCATGACTATTTGGTTGTTATGAGCTATGATTTATATGGATATACAAAAATCGGAAATAGTGTAACAAAATCACCAGTGACAAAATATTCAATTAGAGAAAATATAAGAGCGGCTTATATGGATAGATTAATAAATAAAACTCTTATCAATAAGGTGATTGTCGCTCTACCACTATATGGTTATGCCAAACGTTGTAAAAAAGATATAATTGGAATTTTCACAGATAATTGTATTATTGATGACGAAGAAAGACCAATGAACATTGGGGTAAATACAATTCACCACTATTTAAATTCAGCAGACCACCTTTCAGCGGGGGTCTTTTGGAACGAAGATTCTAAAACAGTGTATTCCAATTTTGCTCTAAATGGAGATGTATATCAAGTTGTTTATGATAACCCATTCTCAACCTATCTAAAACTTAAAGATATTGGATTGGGTGGATCAGGTGTTTGGGCAATCGATCACTTAATAGGTTTACCACAACCCATTGTCGAAGCTTGGTACACTACTTTCGAAAAAATAAATATTGGGGATCAATATATATTTTGGCCAGAACAATTCAAATCAACTCATAAAATGAATTAATAAATATAATGTAATAAAATGAAAAAAAGATTATTAAAAAAAAAAAAGTTTTATTTTATTAATTAATTTTCGAATAACCATATTCATTTGAATGTTTTTTAATTTTATTAAACATACAATATATTAAATAGTATATTAATAAAACTGAAACCATACTTCCTATTATTAAGAAGACCAATTTTATTGTTTCACCCACACTCGACTTTCTCTTTGATTCTGACCCTGTTTTTATTTCCTGTGAAGATGATTGAGATACAATATCATAGCTACAATCTATACATAAATTATAGTTTGCATGATCATTTGAAATATTCGAGTTGTGGACTATTATATTGTCATTTTTACCAATTACAAATCTGTTACTTGGCAATACACTATCCAAAATGGTAATTAGGCTGTTTTCTGCATTGAATGTTATAAAATTGATACAATCTGTTGAATTTCCGTGAATATTTGATGAATAAAATTCAAAGTTTACTGATCTTAATGTTATTAAACAATTATTATTTGTATCATCAACTACAATATTATTAACAAAGGTGCACTCCTCAAATCTATATAAAGTTGAATTTACTATACTTTGATTGTATCCTGGCATCTCTACAATACTTAAAAAACTGTTTGTATTTACATTTGTATTGGAAGTGAAATTATTTTTATAGAACCCGACAAATTCTTCTTTAAAATTTGAATTATCAAGGTATATTTGCTTACCAATATTATTGTAAAATATGTTTGAGTTTATTTCGAAATTTGAATGAACCATTGAAATAAGAGCTAGATTATGATTGTTGAAATTTGAATTTACTGCTACATCTTGAACGACACTATTCATAAAATAAAAGCTACTATCATGTACTGATATAAAAGAATTAAGCAAGGCCGATGACTGATAAATTCCCATATTCATTATTTTGATATACATGTTTTCAAAATAAAACGGTGACACCCCATTTCCTGTATGAACTTGGTCAACAACACAACTTTCCATTACAATTGAACCCTCCAAAATCATTGATATAACCGGGGATGTTGATTTTTTAAAACTTACATAAGATATGTAAATCGAATTAGGATATGGGTTTTCTTCATTATTTAATGATAATATTTCTTTATCCCCCATGAATCCAATAAAGTTTAAATTTCCAATAGATACTACTACTCCATCACTCCCTGTTATATATTTTCTAGATAGACCCCTGTGGACATCTATTCCGCCTATAAAACTTGAATTAAAACCGCTTCCATCTATAACAACATTAAAATTCTGTAAATTTAAATTATATTGATTATTAACAATACCACTGTTTACAAATGTTTTTTTAAAAAGTCCAAGACCATCTTTAAAATAATTTCCGCTATTTGCATAATAAGTTCCATTATTAATATAATAATATAGATGACTTTTTTCGAAATTTAAAAAACTACCAAAACTATCTATAAATTTCAAAACTCTTTCGACTATAAGGCAATTAATAATAGTTATTATTTTAAAATTTTAATTATTTAAAACTTACCTCCTTCATTTATTGTTCTACAAGGTGGGATTGGGTAAATATTTGTCACATTTGTGCAATCCAATGAATTATTATAACACAAATATGTTTTATAGTCCATAACTACACCACATTCTGTGTTATTATATGGTTTATTTGAATTTATATCTATATAAATATTTAATGTAACTATATTATCTATATTATATACTTCATTTTTATTTCCATTATTTATTCTTATATTACTGTCACACAATATTAAACTATTTAAAAATGTGAATAAAAGCAATATTATTACTATATTATTATATTTGCTTTTATTAATACTAAACCATTTCATCTTTAAACAAAAAAAAAAAAAAAAAAAAAAATATTTATAATTTTTTTCTTTATGAAATATGAAAAATAATAATTTTAAAATATATAAAAATAATAATTATTATTAATTAAAAAAACAATGAAATAAAAAAAAACTAATCCCACACCACACACACGATATATTAAACAAACATAAAAACACACAAACACACATTTTAAATTGAAATAACCACACACCTTTGTTTTTATTATTTATATATCTCTTCGCCTAAACATTATTTTAAAGATTTAAAAAAACAATAAAAACTAAATATGTTCTTTCTATATTTATCTTTAATTAAAACAAATAAATAATAAAAAATGTAAATAAAAATATGTATTAGTCCAAATATTGTTGTAAAAAAAAAAACAAAAAATGAATTATTCTTTATTTGGTATATTTAAAAATGTTATTTTTCTTGTTCAACTAATTTATAAATATCGCTGTTTGATAAAACTTTAACTTGATTTTTATCTGAGACATTTAAAAGCTCTTTTTCCTGTTTATTATCGAATTTTATAAATATTAATAATTTATTTTATTGTATAATTAAAAACCAATACATACAGCTTCGATTCTCATTGCTTTAGCAAGAACTTCAACTTTTAAACCAGACATAACTTTACCAATTAAATTCTCGACAAATCTATCACTATTTGGTCTTTCTAAGAAACCTGGTCTGAAAATCGATAAGAAATGGAAATTATCTGCCTTCATCTTTTCTTCTAATCTTCCTTTAGTTTTTGGATATAAAAACCATCTATAATTATTATAATAAATTTAATAATTAGCCTATATATCCTCTAAACAAAAACTGATAATGAATAATGATACCTACGAATTTGGATTTGAACCAGTTGAAGTTAACAAATGCATTGAACGAACACCTGCTTCTTTTGAAAGCTCTGAAAACTAGATAAAAACAATTAGATGTTGTGTTTATAATGATTTTAAAAATAATATTAATATTACCTTGGCTGAATAACCATAATCAATTTCAATAAATCTTTCAGCACTACCTGCTTGTTTTTTTGTTGTACCTAAAACATCGAATGCAACATCTTTACCTTCAAACTCTGATTTATAGTTTTCTAATTTTTCAAAATCTACAACCACTTGTCTTAATTTATCTAAAAATAAAAATAAAAAGTAATTAGTATCCTAATTATTTGGTAAAGGGATACTTATTATTTTAAATGTATTTAATACATACCACTTGAAACATTTAAATCTACAGATCTAACCAATGATGTAATTTCAATAAAATGTGGTGAGTTTATTAATTCTCTTACTAATGGTTTACCAGTAGCACCAGTACCACCAATTAAAATTGCTCTTGCTCCACTCATTTTATTAATGTTATTATTATAATTATATTTTTTATAGTTTTTAACTTCTGATGTAATTTCAATGTTATTTATTATTTGTGTATTATAAATATACTGTGCAAAATATGAAAAAATTATTATTAAGATAAAATAAACAAACTTTTTCATAATAAATACAAAAACTAAAATAAACAATTTAAAAAAATTAAAAAAAAAATAAAAAAAAAAATTAAATTAAAAAAATAAAATTAAAAATAAAAATAAAAATAAAAATAATTTTATTTTTTCTATAAAGGACACCGAATTATTATCTGAACACACCATATTGGAACTATCATCGCCAACCTTTGAAATCAAAAACCACCAATCGTCATCAAAGAAAAAAATAAAGATATTAACTATATAAAAAAAAATTAAACACTGTTTTTTTTTTTATTATAATTTTAATTTTATTTAATTATAAAAAAATAAACAATCATTTTAAATTTAATAAACAATGTTTTTTTTTTTTTTAAAAAATGGATAAAATGATTTTTATCATTAATTTTTAATTTTTTTTTTTTAAAGTGAAGATGATTTTGATACATTAATTCATCTGTATTTTTATTGTGTTTTGTTTTTGGTATGTGTTTTTATACTTATGAGATTTACCACACTGCATACAAGTTGGGCAAAGTAACATCAATTCGTGTGTGATTCGGTTTTCAAAACCTGCGACTATACATTAAATTATTAGTAATTTTTATTGTGAAATTTATGCTTACGTGAGTAAAAATGATTTTAACAACAAAAATATTTTTATTTTAATGTTCTTTTCTTTAAATTTTATATAAAAAAATGTAGATGGACGGTTTGTAATGACAGCTGGAATTTATAGACAAGTACAACCTGACTATATACAGCGCCATTTTGAGAAATCCTATCTTAAGGTTCAGCATAACTTAATACGCGATCTACTATTGAGTCTGGTCTCTGTCATATTGAAATTACACTCTTATTGTGAAATATTATTCTAGTGCTTCGTTCTGACCGCAGTTAATGTGATGAAGCATTAACCAAAGAGAGACATGATTAATAACTTTTGTGGTCACAAAAATATGAAGGTCCCCCATAAAAACAAACTTTATGGGAAAAAAAAAAATTTTAAAAAAAAATAAATAAAAAAAAAATAAAAAAATAAAAAAAACGAATTTTGTTAAAAAACGATGAAAAAAAAAAAAATTATTTTTATTAATGGAAATTCATCAAATTAGTTGCTCGTTTTTACTTTTTAATTTATTAAAATAAAAGCAATAATAAAATTAAATAATATTTTAATCATAAAATACTGAACTCAAGAAACTTTATCCGTGTTTCTTTTTATTTCTTTTCAAAATTAAATATAAAAATAAAATATACGTTTTAAGAAAATAAATAATTATATTTTTTAAATATTTTTTTTTTTTTTTTTTTTGTTGTTTTTTTTTTATTGAAAAAAATTTAAATTATTATTTGTATAGCGAGAAATAATAGTTTAGTTAGCATTTAAAACGTCGATGGCTTCTTTAATTTTTTCATTTAATAAATCGGATCTTTGGGTGAGAGCGAATAATTCTTCAACTGGAAGGGAGTCTAATAACATACCAGTGATTTTACCAGCTAATTCTGGTTGTGAGTTGTGAATTAATGGGTAGAGGAGTTCACCAAGAGCAACATTTTGTTGGTCACGAGTTGGGAGGGCTAAGATTGATGAAAGAGTTGGGGCAGCTTCTTGTGAGGCACCAGAGGCAGCTTGTGGTTGTTGAGTAGCTTGATCAACAGCTGGTTGTTGGGTGGCAATTGGTTGAGCAGAGTCTGGACGTTGACCGTTTGGACGTGGACCAGTTGGACGTTGACCGTTTGGTCTTGGTTGACCACCACCACGGACGTAATTCATACCGTATTGGTTACCTGGGACACCGACTGGGGCACCATTCCAGTTACGTGGACGTGGCATCATTTGTTGGTAGACAACAGCTGGGGTGACTGGAGCTGGGGTGAAGAAGACTGGACCACCGCTGTAAGCTGGAGCCATAGTTTGACGCATACCAGCTTTGAATTTTTGTTGATGTTGCATTTCGAGTTGAGCACGACGGATATCTTTACGTTGGGCAAGAGCGACGTATAATGGTTTGGTACCAATCATACGACCGTTCATTTCGGTGACAGCACGAGTAGCTTCATCTGGTGAAGTGTAACAAACGAAACCAAAACCTTTTGAGGTGGTGGCTTTGTCGTCTTTCATGACAACAGCTGAGGTGATGGTACCAAATTGGGAGAAAACTTCTCTTAATTTGTCATTATCGATGCTGTCATCAATGTTCTTGATGTAAAGGTTGACACCTTGGTATTTGGTTTCAAAGGTATGTTTGAGTTCAGCTTCACGTTCGATTTTCTTTTGAGCACGACCAGCATAGAGTGGTTTACCGTGGAAAACTTTACCGTTTTCGATTTCAACAACGTTCTTAGCAGCATCAGCTGATTCAAAGTTAGCAAAAGCAAAACCTTTACTTTTACCGGTCTTTTCGTCTAACATGATAGCAACGTTGGTGATGGTACCGTATGGGGCTAAGAGTTCTTTTAATTGATCGGAGGTGACGTCTTCAGCGAGATTCTTGAAGAAAACATTGGTGAATTTGATTTCAGTTGGTTGACCACGTTCTTTGCTTGATTTGAATGGACCAACAAATACTTTTTGACCATTGATCATCATACCATTAACTTTAGCAATGGCTTTATCAGCTGAATCTTGGCTTTCATAGTGAACAAAACCAAAACCTTTGCTTGAGTTGTTATCATCAGTGACAACTTTGCATGATAAGATATTACCAAAAGCAGAGAATGTATCATAGAGAGCTTTGTGGTCAATGCCTTTGTCGAGGTTCTTGATGAAAACATTACCAACACCTGATTTACGGAGTGATGGATCACGTTGACTCCACATAATACGACATGGTTTGCCTCTAATTGGAGTATTGTTTAAAGTATCTAAAGCACGTTCGGCATCAGCAGCGTTGTAGTAGTTAACGTAGGCATATGATAATGAACGACGAGTATTGGTATCACGACAAACTCTGATGTTTGAAACTAAACCAACTTGATTGAAAACTTCGAATAAAGTTTGTTCTGAAACTTCTCTAAAAATATTTTAAAAAATAATAAAATATTAATATAACAATGATTTTTTTAAAGTTATTTTTATTTGATATTTTGATAAATTATTAAATTAAGAGAATAAAATATTTATATAAAAAAAATAAAAAATAAAAAAAAAAAATAAAAAATTTTGTGTGAAAATTTTTTTCGTTTTTTTAAAAAAAAGTATGGTGTGTGTTTTAACAAAAAAAAAAAACTACAAATATAATTATTAAATTTTGCAAAGTTATCCAATGTTGTTATTATTATTATCGAAGTTGTTATTATTATATTTAAAAAAATATTGAGGATTTTTTATTTATTTTTTTTTATTTTTATTTTTTATTTGTTGAGAAAAAATATAGATTTGAGTTTTTATGTTGATAATTGAATATTGTACTATTGCTGTTATTTCTATTTAATATCATTGTTATTGCTATATTGCTATTTACACCAAAAAAAATAAAAATAAAACACACACTTTTTTTTTTCTAAATTTCTTTTTTCTTATCTAAAAAATATCTATATTCAATTTTAAACTGTTAATATATTTGTTTTAATGAAACTTACGGTAATAAATCACCAACGTAGAGGGATGAAGAAATTGGAGTAAATGAAGATGTCATTTTATGGTTTTTTTTTAGGGAATTAAAAAAAAAAGTATTTGATGTATTTGTTTTTTTTTTTTTTTTAGTTTTCTATTTTTTTTTTTTGTTTTTTTTTTTTATAGAATGATAATAAAAAAATTATACACAAAATATAAATGAAAATATCGAAATATTAACAAAAATATGAATATATATAAATAATTTTATTTCAAAGGGAAACAACTATGTATGTTAAAAAAAAGAAAAAAAGAAAAAAAAAAAAAAAAAAAATTTTTAAAAAAAATTTAAAAAAAAAAAATTAAAAAAAAAAAAAAAATTTATTTAATTTTTATTTTTATTTTTTTAAATTTTTTAAAAAACAAACGTAACAAACAACCGAGACCTTGATAGCGTGTATGGTTTACATTCATTTATTTAAATCAATTTGTTATTTATTTTTAATAAATTAAAATAAGTTAATTTTTTCCTTTTTTCTTTAAATTTATTAAAGTTTTAAGAAAGTTTTCCCTTAATTTTTTATTTATTTTTTTTTAATAATTAATTTTATTTTTTTAATAATATAAATTAAATTTAACATATTTAAGTTGTAATAAAATGAATAAAAATAGAGGTTTTTTTTAAATGATATCACATTTGTTTAAAACAAATGGTTTTTAGATATATATATCCTTTTTTTATAAATGTGTGAAATTAAAAAAAATATTATTTCGATTTTTTTTTTTTTTTAAAAAAAAATATTTTTTTTTTTAAAATTTTTTTTTGGATTGTGTATTTCATATTAATATAATTTTAAATTGTTACAATAATTTAGTATTAAAATAATATAGAGTTTTTAATTTAGTATTCTTTATTTAATTAAATTATAGTTTATAATTACCCATTTAACAATAAAAAATAATATTAATAAATATATACAATAAAAATGTCAGGTAACAATAAAGATTCACAACTCGTTATTGCACTTAAAGATATCGTTGCTGGTTCAGTCGGTGGTATTGGTCAAGTATTTACTGGCCATCCATTAGATACCATCAAGGTTCGTTTACAAACCCAACCAGTTGGTAACCCAATTTACTCTGGTACTATGGATTGTTTAAGAAAGACTATTCAACAAGAAGGTGTAAGTATACAAAAAAATCATACCATACCATACCATTTAGATTCAAAAATAAATATACTAATGTCTAGTTATTTATTTTGTTTTATAGTTTATGGGTTTATATAAAGGTGTTGCATCACCATTGGTTGGTTTAAGTATTATGAATTCAGTAATGTTTTTAGCATACGGTCAAGCTAAAACTGTTATTCAATCTTTAGATCCAACCAAGCAACTTTCAATCGGAGGTTTTACTGCTGCTGGTGCTTTAGCTGGTGTTGCTATTTCATTTGTCGATTCACCAGTCGATCTTTTTAAATCACAAATGCAAGTTCAAAGTGGTGAAAAAAAACAATTTTCTAGTACATCTGACTGTGCTAGACAAATTTGGAAAATCGGTGGTGTTAGAGGTGTTTTCCAAGGTCTTGGTGCTACATTTGTCAGAGATATTCCAGCAAATGCTTTTTATTTTGGTGCTTATGGTATGTTTTAATTTAGTTTTCTTGTTTTAATGATTAGTTTTTTTTTAAAATTAACACACCGTTTAATTAAATAGAATATGTTAGAAAGGTTTTTGCTACAGCAAACAATATTAATGTTGATCAATTATCATCATTACAAATTATGGCAGCAGGTGGTGCTGGTGGTGTCTCATATTGGACCTTATCTTATCCAGCTGATGTTGTTAAATCAACTATGCAAACCGATTCAATTATTAAATCACAACGTAAATATTCAAATATGCTTGATTGTGCTCAAAAAATTTATAAACAACAAGGTATTGCTGGTTTCTACAAAGGTTTTACTCCATGTTTCATTAGATCTATTCCAGCTAATGCTGCTTGTTTTGTACTTTACGAAAAAGCTCGTCAATTAATGGGTTAAAAATAATAACAATAATAATAATAATATATATAGTTTTTTAAAAAACCAAAAAAAAAAAAAAAATCAATCAATAAAGTTTGGTTTCGAATCACAATATTAAAATAAAAATATTTATTAATATTAAAACACATTCACCAAAATTTTTTCCATAATTATTTTTGTGGTGTGTGGTATATATATGGTTTTTGATAAAATTTTTTTTTTAAAAAAGGTAATTATTGGTATTGTAATTATTGTTAATCTGAAATTAAAATAAATATAATTCTTCAAAAAAATAAAAAAAATAATAATAAAAATGATGTAAGGTATCAGAAAGTGGAGTAATTTTTTTTTAATGATAAAAAAAAAAAAAAAAAAAAAAAAGATTTTTATAAATTTTTTTTTATTTTTTTTTTATTTTTTATTTTATTTTTATTTTATTTTTTATAAAAATTTCTTTAAACAAATTGGTTTTGTGGTGTTGTATTTTGTGTTTTAATTTTAATTGAAAAAATTGATATTAAATAAATTTTATATACACTTGATAAATTTTTTTACTTTTTATTTTTTTTTGTACATTAATATTTTATTTTATTTATTTCTTTTTATATCTTGTAATATATAATCAATATAAATTGTAATTTTAATCAGTCACATTGCATTTGCACAATCACAAATTCCATCTTCAAATAAAACAATAATAACAAACTGTACATAGAAAAAAAAAAAAAAAATTAAAAAATTAAAAATTTAATTTTGCACACACACACAATAAATCAAGATGTTTAAAATATTGTATGTTATCTTCACTTTTCCCCAATAATAAACTATTATAATAAAAATCAAAACCACTAACAAATTTATATTTTATATTACTCTAGTGGATCAAAGGCTCAAACATTCAAACCTAAGAAATCAATTAAAAAAGGAACAAAACAGTATGAGTTACACCAAAAAATTAAAGAAACTTTAGGTTCAGGTGATCTCACTGATGCTATTAAATTACCACCAGATGAATCATTACAAGAATGGTTATCTGTAAATAGTATGTATAATAACAAAATACAAATATATATGTATAGATATTAACATTCTTTTTTTTTTAGCAATTGATTTTTTTAATCAATCAAATTTATTATATGGATCTATTACAGAGTTTTGCACACCAAAGGTTTGTCCAGTCATGTCAGCAGGGCCACAATACGAATTTTTATGGGCAGATGGTAAAGATATTAAAAAACCAATTAGAGTATCAGCACCTGTTTATGTTGATTATTTAATGACATGGATTCAGAATACACTCGACGACGAAGAGATTTTCCCGAGCAAATTTTCAGATGAAATGCCAAAAAACTTTTTACCAACAATTAAAGCAATTTTCAAACGTTTATTTAGAGTTTATGCACATATTTATTATTCTCATATGGACAGGGTTGGACCTTTAGGCGTTGAGGCTCATTTAAATACATGTTTTAGAGTAATTATTATAGCTATATTTATTTATAATCCACCCACTCCCACTCATACTAATGTTTAATCTTTTAATTTAGCATTTTTATTTATTTATAAAAGAATATAATTTGGTTGATAAAAAAGAAATGGCCCCATTACAACATATAATTGATAAAATTAATGCAAGAAAAGATTAATTAATATTATGGTTTTATTTTTTTTTCAAAAAAGATTAGTGCCCTTTGTGGAAAAAAAAAAAAAAGATAAAAATAAAATTAAATAAAAAATAAATAATTAAAAAATAACTTTTCTTTTTTTTTTTTTTTATAAAATACATATATATTAATTATATTTTATATTTTTATTATTTATTTATTTGTTTTGGGTTAGTACTTTGTTTATTAATTATTTAATTATTAAATATTTTTATATTATATAAAAATTTGATATATCACAACAATTCGTTTTTTTTTTTTTTTTTTTTTTAGTAATTTCTTGGAGGGCCATAGGGTGAGCTATTTTGATTATTATAAAAAGGTTGTTGCTGTTGTTGGCTCTGTATTAAAAAAAGATAAAGATAATTAATAAAATGAGGTTTTTAATTTTTTAAAATTGTTGATAAATCTTTTGCTGTGGTGAGATCTTACATTATTGCTATAGTTGTTATTATATCCATTATTGTTATTGCTCCACTGTTGTTGATAGGGTGGCTGATTGCTACCTTGATATTGTTGTTGATGGTGTGGTGGTGATTCATCCATATCGCCTAAATTTTCGTTACTATTACGATTATAATGACCTTGATCATATCCATTGTTATTCTGTTGTTGTGGTGGTGGTTCTACATTTGATTGATTAATATCAAAACCCAAGGCATTTGACATCTCGTCAATGAATTTTTGATATTCGGTTTCAATGTATTGTTGATTTGATTCATTTGTACGTAATGGGCAATCAGAGGAGGGATGGGTAGTTTCACCACAATGGGAACATTTAATATCAACAGGGGTCCAACTACGATTTCCCATGTATGCAGGACGTTCTCTGAGTGTGCCATTCATTTCGGCCAATTCACGTAGTTGTTGACGTTTATGTTCGTTTTTACCCTCTTCAACAGGGACGAGAAATTCTCTAACTAATACTTCAGCTTTATCTAATTGATCAGTTGTATCTGCAGTTAAAAGAACATGAAGTTCGTCATTCTCTTGAAACTGTATTTTAGTTGATTTACCATCACGTGATGAACCTTTACCACGAATTGCAATTTTAGCACCACTCTCTTTTTCCATACGTTTTTGTGTATTACCTCTTGGACCAATGATTAAACCAATAAAATTATATTCTGGATGATCTTTAATTGGAATATAAATCTTTCTAATCTTTTTTTCATTGGGTGGTTGATAATCTGATGGTGGTTTATAGGTTGGACTAATTCTTTGTGCTGTAACAATTAAGTGATGTCTTTCTTTTTGTAATTTATCTTTAATTCTTTGTTCTCTAGTATTAGATCTTTTACCATTGCTATCATAAATTGGTGGTGGTGAAGGTGATCTATCTCTATCTCTGTCTGTAATTTCTATTGGTCCAATTGTAACTTTTTTTGTAATCTCATCAATTCTTAAACGTACTTTTTATAAGAGTAATATTATGTTGTTAATAGGGATGAAAATGAATATATATTGATTTAAATTAATACTTACATATTAATGCTGAAATTTGTTCATCTGTTAAACCTGGTGGTAATGTTTTAAATATTGATGAAAATGGTGATGAATCCATGGAAGGAGTTGAATCCCATCTTGATAATCTACTTCTATCATTTATAGAGATTTCATCTCTAGTTTTAGGTCTACCTCTTGAAATTTCTTTAATTTCTCTGAAAAATGAATCTTCATCATCATCCCCATAAAGTGAACTATTATTATTAACCAATGTTTCTTCAACCATTGTTTAATTATTTATTTATTACTTTTATTTAAAATAATATTTATAAAAATTAAAATAAATAAAGTTAAAAATAAAAAAAAAAAAATTAAAAAAAAAAAAAAAAAAAAATTTTAATTTATAAATTTTCCAAAGAACGAAAAAAAAATAAAAAAAATAAAAAAAAAAAACAAAAAAAAAATAATTACAATATTTAAATAAATTAATAGTAAATAAAATATGCATATGCATTCTTTAATTTCGAAAGAGTTTTTTTATTTTATTTATAAATAATTATAAAAAAAAAAAAAAAAAAATAGTTTCAAAAAAAATTTTATTTTTTTTTATTTATTTTAATTTTTAAATTAATTTAATTGTGTGAAAATGTGAAATTTATTTTTTTATTTTTATTTAATTATTTTAATCCATCTAAATATTTGATGTTCATTCAGCAATAGATAACAAAGAATAAAGCAATAACAATATTTGTTATTTAGTAATAATGACTTTTTTAATATTTACAAGTTGTGCCTTGTTAATATTTGGGCCAATATTTGTAGTAGCTAATGCTTCAGTTTTGTAAGAATCAGCTAATTAAAAAAAAAAATAAAAAATATATTACTAATTATTTATTTATATAATTAGGAGTCAAGTTAAATATGGTCATTATTTTTTATTCGGGTTTTTAAGTAATCTAGGATGGCAGATTGCTAAACTATTCATACTAGGTTCATTTTATCCATTTTTTGATATGGAGATTTATGATCCTGTTCAAGTAAGATAAAAAAATATAAATCACTTTATAATAATGATAATAATCAATACAAAAAAATTAATATTAATATTATTTGTATTTATAGGAAATTATTAAAATAGTTGGTATGATTAGTGAAATTATTATAGTTTATTTTACATTAAGGTATTTGTTAAAGGAAAAGAATAAAGCCAATATTTCAAAGCATAAAATTATAGTTTTAGGGTTTACATTGGGATGGTTTACAGTGGGTTCTCTGTTAACGCAGTTTTTGCCATTATTCAATACACTTGGTGTCGAGTTTAATTGGGTGTACACTTTTAATGCACTCGATAATAATATTAAATTATTAGAGCAGTTTGCATTAAACACATGTATATATTTATATATAGTAAACAATAACAAATATTTAATCGAATCCCCAACAACATCAAAAACAACTAAAAACCAAGAGCAAAATCAACTTCCAAAGCAATATCAAGATTCAAAGTTATTATTAAATTTATTATTAATAGGCTATTTGGTTTTTGAGGCTTTTGCAAGTTTTTTCTTCCATAGGGCCCCTTACCACAGTTTTCTCTTTATCAAGGCTTTTTATTCTCTTTTCTTTTTTAAAGTTACAAGGATATAAATAAACTACAATTTTTTATTTTTATTTTTTTAATAATACAAATGATTTAGTTGATTCTTTAATTTATTAAATATGATTTTTTCGTCTATAGTATTAAATGTTCTAATAATTGGATGGTATTTACTATAGAATTTCTCATCATCTAGTATAGGACTAGAGTCTTGAATGAATATAAGCTCTAGTGAATTTGGAATGGATTTGATGTTAGGTTTACATTCACCTCTTATAATTAATATATTAACTGAGTTAAAGAAAGATCGATCTAGTGCGATGTTGGCACTTGCAAATTTGGCGCCAAAGGTTAAATCTAATAATCGTACATTTGAGGAAAATGGAGATTCTGTAATTAAGGTAGAGTTGCTTGATTGATTTAGTTTTTCAAATAAAAGGAATGAATATAACTCGTCCAATTTCAATGATGTTAAACTTGTCAGTTCTATCAAATTGAGATCAAATGAAAATTGGTGTTTTATAGGTTTTTTGAATTTTAATTCAAGTGATTCGATATGTGGTGGTATTTTGGTTATTAAATCTGGGTATTCGAAAATGAGTTTAAGTGATTTTAAATTTTTAAACTTGTTAATTAGTTTATCATTATTTTCTTTATGAGCACTACTGTAGTGGATAAAATGCTTCATTTGGGATGGTATATTGTGGGCACTTATAGCAGTAGTTGAGGGATCATCTATTGTATATTCTAATGTTACAATTAAACTGAGCGATATAATGTTGTCTGGATTTTCAAATTTGGTGGATAGATGTGATAGAGTCCCACTAAAAGCAGTAATTGATCCTGGATATCCTTTTTTAACATCACTAACCCAGGTAATTAAATTATAGGGAAGAGTTAGTTCTAAAAGGCTTGATGGAAGTTCGTCAGGGTTTCCATAGTGGAGATTACCACCAAAGGTCAGATTTAAATGTGTAAGTGATGGCGGTGGTATTTTTGATTTGTAGGAATTTGTAGGTTGTTGTTGTGGTGGTGGTATAGGGTATTCTTGTAATGTAGGAGAGGTATTGGTGTTTACTGATATTCTTTTATCTTGAAAATAATAGTTGTTGTTATGGTACAAGCTTCGCATCAAAATATTAAAAGTTGGTGGAATCATTCTGTTGAGTATTATTGTAAGTTTCTTTAGTGAATTGACTAGGCTTCTAATTTCAACAAAATCTGTCGAGCCACAGTGTTCTAAATATAAAGATGTTAAGCTGTTTGGAACAAAGTTTAAAATCTTGGTATAGAAACCTACAGTATAATTTGGTTTTCCAATGAATGACAGTTCTTTTAGTTGTGGTGGAAAATAAATTTCGGTAAAATTATACCCAGTTTTGAATTCTAACGACTCTACCTGATCTGGTATCATTCCTTTGGTAATTGATCCAGTAAACATGTTACGGAATACCAATTTTTTCAAATGTGTAGCACTCTCTAAAAAGCCACCTCTTAAAACATGTTCGTTGTAAATACCTAGATCCAATGTGATTAAGTTTGTAAATGGTGTTTGTTTTATTAGTGACTTGTCACGACCAAAAATCTTTTTAAATAGAGGTGCTGAATCCTCTAACTCTAAAATTACACCTTCACCTAATACCAGTTCAGTTATAGTCGGAGCAACTATAAATTTGCTTAATTTAACTGATATTTTACATCTACTAAATGACAAACTTTTTATATTATTACTACCACTATCTATTAATTTATTATTAATGTTTGATGTTATTGTTGATTCTAATAATTTAATAAATTTACTAAACTCCTCATACTTGAAAAAATCCTCTACTACTATATACTTATAAGTTGAATCATACTTTAATCTGTTAAATGTTTCATTTTTTGATAATCTTTTAGTTCTCCAATCATTATTTAGTTTTATATATCTATCTATGTTTTTTTTTAATAGTTTGTTTTTAAAAAGTTTATCATAATAGTATACTACTATATCATTGTTTTTATTATCATTATTATTATTATTATTATTACTATTCATTATTTGTTGTTTATTGTGAAAAGTAAAAAAATTAAAAAATAAAAAATTTTTAAAAAAAAATATTAAAAAAAATCTTTTTTTTTTGATTGGTTTTTTTATCAAACATTTTAGGGTTATAAAAATTTAAAATTAAATGTAAAAAAACAAATAATCAAATCTAAAAATTTTTTTTTTAAAAATATTAATAATAACATAATATTATTTTGTTTTTATTTTTATTTTTATTATTTTATTTTTTGATATTTTATTTAGTCCAAATTACAGGATGTTGTTGATTAGTTTGACGCATGAAATATGATTGAGAATCTTCATCAATTGGTACTGAACGTTTTTTATATCTTCCATCTGGTAACATATCCCATGCATTAGTGTCGTTAACGTAAACTTTAATGATATCATAGAGTTGTTTGATGTTGTTTGGATCCTCTACTGGTACTAAAACTTCAACTCTACGTTTAAGATTTCTATGGAGCCAATCAGCGGATGCAATGTAGGCTTTTGGTTTACCATTGTTGTGGAAACAATAAATTCTAGAATGCTCAAGGAAACGGCCCAATACAGATATAACTCTAATGTTTTCTGAGATTTGTTTGATTCCTGGTAAGATTCTGCAACGACCTCTAACAACTAATGTGATTTTAACACCAGCAATACTTGCTTGATATAAAGCATTGACAATTCTCTTATCATCCAAACCGTTCATTACAGCATTGATGGTTGCTTCTTTACCTTCTCTGGCGTTTTTGGCTTCATTATCAATTAATTGGATTAAAGTTGATCTCATATTCATTGGAGCAATAACCAATTTCTTGAATGATGTAATTCTACTATAGCCAGTTAAATAATTGAAAAGATTACACATATCTTCACCTAGTTCTGGATCGCAACTGAACAAGCCAATATCAGCATAAACATCGGCAGTACTAGCATTATAGTTACCAGTAGAGATATGGAGATACTCTCTAAGACCATTTTCTTCTTCACGAACAACCATTGCTATTTTAGAGTGAGTCTTTAAACCTACTAAACCATAACTGACATGACAACCAGCTTGTTCTAATAAACGAGCAAATTTAGTATTTTGTTCTTCATCACCAGATGCTTTCAAATCAATTAATGCCATAACTTCCTTGTGGGATGCAGCTTCGCAGAGTGCACGAATTAATTGAGAGTTGGAATTGGTTCTGTAAATTGCAATCTTGATAGCTAATACTTTTGGATCTTTAACTGCACTTTCAATAAAGAATTGAACACTACTATTAAAACTGAGATATGGTAAATTAACTAAAAATTCTCCCTTTCTAATAACACTAAATATATCTTCTGATGGATATCTTGCTAAATTTACTAATTTTTGAGGTATATGTGGTACCCATGGTTGGAACTAAAAAAAATTTTAATATTAATATTAATTTATTTATATTCTGGTGATTTGATTTGATTCTACGTACCTTTAAATGTGGTAAATTTAATTTACATAATTCAAATAAATCGGTAATACCTAATGGACCATTAATTGAATAAACGTCATATTCATCTAATGCTAATTGAGTTTTTAGCATGTCTAAAATTTCTGGAGGCATATTTTGAGATACTTCCAATCTAACCATTGGGGCAAATCTTCTTTTATGTAATTCGGTTTTAATGAGTTCTAATAAATCATTGGCTTGATCTTCATTATTTAATTTCAAATCATTATGACGAGTAACTCTGAAAAGACTTTTGGAAACGATTTCAGTATTTGGGAAAATGGTATCTAAATTGGCTAAAATAATTTCTTCCATTGGAATAATAGAGTATGGTGAACGTTGCTTAATGTGAACAAAACGTGGAATTCTTTGTGGAACTTTGATACGAACGAAACGAGTAGTATCTTCGTCATGTTTTAAAAGAGCTGCAATGTTCAATGAAAGATTACTGAGATTTGGGAATGGATGGCCTGCATCAACAACCAATGGAGTCATCAATGGGAAAACATGTTGAAGGAAAAATGCTCTTAATTGAACTTTTTCTGGCTCGGTGAGTTCGTTGTATTTGATAATGAATACATTGTTGTTTGCTAACTCTGGTTGGAGTATATTACAATAGAGATTATACATTTCATTAATAAGATTTCTGGTTGTGTTTAAAACCAAATTGATATAACGTTCTTCTGGTTTCAAAGTCTTTCTAGTTGAAATATAACCTAATCTTAATTTGAGAGCACGCTTACAAAAATACATATCTAAATTTTGAGAGGTGATAGCAATGAAACGTACACGTTCTAAAATTGGATAGGTTGTATTATAAGCTTCGTATAGAATACGATAAAAGTAAATAAGTTCAGAAAGTTCTCTATTAAAGAATAATCTACTTCCAGACAATTGCATAACCTTAACATCCAATGGAATTTCAGATTCTGAGATTGGTTCATTGTTTGAAAATGGTGGTGTAACTGTACCAGTGCTGCTAGTTGGGTCATTGATTTTGCCACTATTCTTGATGAAATGGGAATTGGTATCAGAATTGGTTGGTGTTGTCAAACAATTGTTGCTACCCATAAAATAATTGCTTGAGAATAGATTATTGATATCTAAAAATGAATATTTTGATGTTGGTACAATAAAATTGTCTTCATCATCGATTGTATCTTGGCAATAGGATGGGTCCGGTAATACTGTATGTAAAGGTGGAGCATCCCAATTATTAAGAGTTCCTTGAGTTCCTTCAATTGGCTGTGGATTCTGAACTGATAATAAATTTGATGTACCTAAACTGCTTAAACCTAACATTGATGAGAGTTTAATTGGTGCTGGTGACTTGGCTTGGCTAACTGTGGATGATTTTACAAATTCTGTTGGTGAAAATAGCCCTGATTGGTTATTGGATTCTTGTAAAACTTGACTTTTAACCAATGGATTTTGAATTGGACCTTTTGATTTTAATTTATCAATGGACTCTTTCGATGGAAATTCATTATTAGTAGTAGAGGTGGTTGTTGATTCTTTTTTTTTCTTATTACCAATTCTTGGTTTAATTTTTTTATCATTTGGGTTTGGTATTAAGTTGGCTGGATTCTCTTGGGCACTACTATCTTCGTCCTCTTCATAAAATGATGATGACTCTTCATCATAGTCATCTTCGAAATCTACTGGACATTCTTGTGATATTTTGTATCTGTGTAATTCCATAGCTGCTGTCGATGATGATGAGTTTGTGTGTTCATCGTCACTAATTTCACAGTTTGATGATTCTTCTTCTTTATCATTATTTTTATTTTTATTATTTTCTTCTTTTATTTTACCATTAGATTCTATTTTTTTATCTTCATCTTTAATATTTAATTTATTGATTTTATTTTCAATATTATTATTTTCTAAATTAGTCATCATATTAAATTATAATATCAATATTTATTAATATGTATTTAAATTATGGGGATTATTATTTGTATTAATATTATTATTATTTGTTATTATTTATTATTATTTGTTAAATAAAAAATAGAGAGAAAAGAGAAAAAAGAAAAGAGAAAAGAGAAAAGGAAAGAAAAAAAGAAAAAAAAAAAAAAAAAATTGTTTAAATATTAAAATATAATTGAAAAAAAAAAAATTAAATAAAAATAAAATAAAAAAAATTATAATTGTTTTTTTATTTTTTTTAGTTTTTTTTAAAATGCTCTATCAAGAATGAGTTTTTTTAATGTTATATTATTGAAATGGTGCAATGGTTTGGCAAGGTAAAAAAAAATTTACCATTCCAATTCTGAACCAAACCACACGTTGCAATTAAAGATTATTAATATAAAAATTAGATTTTTCAGACTACACTGTCTAAATTTCTAAAAAAAAAATAAAAAAAAAAAAAAAAAAAGCTTTAATATGACAGAAATTTGACATTTTAAATTGAAAAAAAATTATAAAAAATAAAATATCCATCATTTTAAAAATTTTATTTGTTTTGAATTTTATTTTTATTTTTTTTTCAAAAACTCTGTTCTTTTGAAAAAAAAAAAATTATAAAAAAATAAAATTTAAAAAAAAAAAAAAAAAAAAAGCAACAACGAAAGATAGAATGTGATTGTGATTGATTTAATCCAAATATTGAATTGTAATTTTTTGTACAAAAAAAAAAAAAAAATTAAAAAAAATTAAAAAAACTAAAAAAAAAAAGAAAAAATATTAACAAGAATTTTTACACAAATAATGAACAGTGAACATTGTCTCTGGGAAAAAAAAAATAGCGTGGTGTAGTTTATTTATAATATTATTACTATTTTTTAATAAATGTGTGTATATGGTGAAAAACTGGATTATAATCTTTTAAATATTATGAAAATATGAAATCTATATTATTTAAAAAAAATACTATAAAAATATAATTACCTTTATTTTCTACTGTATTAATTTTTTCTGTAATCTTATAAGACTCATTCATTTCTCTACCTATTTATATTATTTATTTATTAATTTATATATTTATTTATAGTTTTATATTTATTTATATTATTTATTTATATATTTGTTATTATTACTAAATCTTTAATAATACTAAATGTTTATAACTATAAATTTTTTATTTATACACACAAATGAAAAAAAAAAATTAATTTAAACTTTTGGAATTTTTTTTTAATTTAATAAAAAAATTACAAAAAAATTTTAAAAAAAATAAAATTTTTTAATTATTATAAAAAATTAAATATAAATGTGTTTTTTTTTTTTGTGTGAATAATCGTATTATTTTGTGGGGGGATGGGGGTAAGATATATTTATAAATAAATAATTAATAATAGATACCTTAAATTAATACCAAGGTAATAAAAAGAAAATAAAAAAAATAAAATAAATTAATTCAATTCATAGCAGAATCCAAGATAAGTAAAAACCATATATGGTTTAATATTAAACTTATTTAAATTTTACATAAATTTATAGATCATTCTATATGGAGCAATAAATATCAAAATTTAAAATTTAAGCACCCAATTTTACAAAATGTAATATAATCATCAAAATCAATTATTAAAAATATCATTATATTAAAATTTTAGAAAAGAAAAGAAAAGAAAAAAATTAAATATTATTATTATTATTATTATTATTTTTATATCACTATTATTATTTTATTATTTTTATTAATTATCTTAAAAATAAAAAACAATAATAAATAAAAATAGTGTTTTTTTTATTAATTTTTTTAAATATTTACGAAAGGTTAAATCCACTTTCATTATTTCCATTATCTTCATT